AATGAAATTGAAATATAAAATAATAAGACAGCGGATAGAGGTGCCCCACTAGCAACCAAGCAGAAGAAAATTAAAAAAAAAAAAAAAATATATATACTTCTATCACTGTCAACTTTTGGTTAAAAAGTCATAAAAGACATATACAATCAATCAACATTCTACTTAGTTACTGTATTATAAACCAGATGTAATTTTCATTAATAAACTTATCAGAAAAACAAACTTTTCTTTCCACTTGTTTTACAGATATATTGCAGTATTTATTAATAAAAACAACCTAAACATCTATAATACATTACCTTGTATGTATTCATTAAAATAAAATAAAAACAGGTTCCAATCTCTACCCAGACTCGAACGTTTGTTTTGATCGCGTTACGTTACACCGAATCGTGATTAACAATTGGATAATTTTTTGTCAATTACATGTAACTGCAAAATTTTACTGTATATCATCTGATTGATCGATGTAAAATATAAAATAAAATTTTATTAACAAAACTACTTTAGGGTTCTAATAAAAAAAATTCTCTATAAAATTCTGAGTATAACCCTTTCTCTATTCTAATTCAAGCTTTTAAACCTTTTAAACCTTATCCTAAATATAAAAAAAATTAATTATTGTAAATCACTGGTGATGGTCGCCTTGTTTATAATAAAACTTTCAATTTGAAAGTGAAGACATTTCTTTTTTATAATTAATATGACTTAAAATTTCGTCCGATTGTACTTTAAAAACTTTCATATTCGCGTTTGAGATTCAGTTGTTTCACCAACTTGTCTTAGAAGAGATTTTGTTAATATCTGCGTGTGGCACAAAGTTTATATATTAAATTTTTTATCTTTTAATATCACGTGTACAAGTTATAAAATATGCAAAAGTAAAGATGAACAAAATTATCAACCTGTTTTACGTACACTATATATATCGGGATATCGAAAGAAATAGATGATCTTTAATTTTAGCCAATTAAACTTCTTGCTGATCATCCAACTTTACTTAATCATTTACATTGTACTATTGTGACACAAATTTAAGACCGATAATCTATAAAATTACCACATTTTATTAAGACTTTTAATAATGGATAACTGTGAATTGATTTTAAATTTTGTAACCCAAGGACCAACAGTTGGTAATCAGAGTATTAGATCAAAACTTAAGGAAGTACGCGGAAGCTGGAAAGAAAAAAATAGAGTTCGTAGGTCTTTGAAAAAAGAGATTAAGAAAAATTCTCGGAGTAATGATGCATCTCTTATATCCATTAACGTCGAGGCAAGAAGCAAGACTAATGTTCCAGAAAAGCAAAACGTTAAAAAACAATCTAATCAATCTAATAAATATTCAAATAATGGTGGTAACGAAACACTTAATCAATTTAATAACCATTTAAATTTAAATATCGATTCAAATAATAAGACACAAATAATATCATCAATTTTCACATGTAATCCTGAAATTGTTGATATTCATGAAAACAAAATATCAAAAAGAAATACTGCACATCATAAACCAAGCAATGCTCCAATTAATGACATTTCATTTACTGGCATGGGCTTGAATGTTGACCTGGTCACCAACGTGAAAGATAAGCTTGGAGTCGAAAAGCCAACCAATGCCCAAAAGAAAGTCATCCCAATTTTATTATCTTCAATTCAAAATAATGATGACACTGGTAATAAAGATATAGACATTGTCTTACAAGCAGAAACCGGTTCCGGTAAAACTCTAGCATACTTGCTACCAATCGTACATCGCTTGATTCGTATCACTACAGACCTTCAGAATGCCAATCCGAAAACAAGATCACCCTTATCACGTTCTATTGGCACGCTTGCTATAATTTTAACTCCTACACGAGAATTGGCGAAACAAATTCTTTCAGTTCTAGAGTCTTTACTAAATCTACCACCATCAAGACTTAGTGATCGGCATCTGACTCATTGGATAGTTCCTGGCTCCGTTATAGGTGGTGAAAAAAAACAATCAGAGAAAGCAAGGCTTCGTAAGGGGATAAATATTTTAGTCTGTACACCTGGTAGATTATTAGATCACCTATCAAGTACAAAATCATTTGTTGTAGAACATTTGCATTGGCTAGTACTCGATGAAGCCGATCGTCTTTTGGAATTAGGATTCGAAGAAACTCTTCAAAAAATTTTGAACCTTTTAAATGACCGAACAGAAAGCATGAATAAATTAAAAAATAATTTATTCTCTTCTCCAATGTGGCCAAAAAAACGTCAGACTATTCTTTGCTCAGCTACGCTCAAAGATGATGTTAAACGATTAGTTGGTTATAGTTTAAGTAATCCTGTATATGTTAGAGGAAATGATGATTATAAAGGACAAATATATTCAACTCCCAATCAGTTGAAGCAGACTTATGTAATAGCTCCTGCAAAATTACGACTAGTAACTTTGACTGCAATCTTGAAATCAATATTCGATGTTGAAAAAAATGAAAGTGCAATGAATCATAAGGTGATTGTTTTTTTTTCATGCTGTGACACTGTAGATTTTCACTTCGATTTGTTTGTAAATTCTGGAAATTTTCATAAAGATAAGATAAGTAATATTTCTGAAAATGATACTGAATGGAATATGGACATTGATGAAGAATATCATGATGAATCAAATTCCAAACCGAAGGAACTACGCTCTTTGAGCACAGTGGTTCCAAAAGTAAGGCTTTTTAAATTACATGGTGATTTATTACAACGAGATCGTACAACGACATTTGATGAATTCAGCAAGTCAAAATCTGGAATACTGTTTTGCACGGATGTTGCTGCGCGTGGTTTAGATCTTCCTAACGTAGCAAAAATCATTCAATATGATCCACCATCAGATTTAAAGGATTATGTTCATCGTGTTGGAAGAACCGCAAGATTAGGAAAAAAAGGAGATGCTATATTGTTTTTGTTACCAAGTGAGATCGAGTATATTCATGTATTAAGATCGCATGAGATATATGCTGAACCGGTCCAAGTAGAAACATTATTGGAAAACCTTGCGCCAATAAATGAAAATAAGGATTATAAAGTAACAGCTACTGATATCCAGTTAGGATTTGAAAAATATGTTTATTCCGATACCAAGGTAATAGAAATGAATTTTACTTTAAGCTCTAGCTCATGTATTAGCTAAATTTATTAACGTAATAAAATTAATTTTTAGTGCATTACATTAGCACGAAAAGCTTATTCGTCATTTATACGTTCGTATGCTACACACTCAGCATCAGAAAAACATATTTTCCATGTAAAAAAATTGCATCTTGGTCATGTTGCAAAGGGTTTTGGGCTCCGAGAAGCGCCATCAAATATTAATTCCAAAACTGACCTTAATTCATCTAACAGTAAAAATATGACGAAAATGATGAAAAGTGAAAAGAGGTTGGACGCTAAACTAAGAAATTTATCGTTGAAAAGGATAGCAGAGGAGGATGTGAATAATGAATTCTCCATTGGAAGTTATAGTTCTCTGTTGGGTCCTACTACAAAACGGAAAAGAAAGAATGATCAAATTAAGTAATTATTAAGACATTTGATAGTATACGGATATCCTCTATACGAATTATAATATATTTTAATATTATTAAAAACAAAAAAAAACATTGTATAAAAAAGCTTACAAAATAATAAATGCATACAAAAACATTTATCAAATATTTAAAAAGAAAATTACTTCATTTTACCAGTGGTGATTATTACTAGCGATTTACAATATTTAAATTTAAGTTTTTATCAAAGCAAAAATTGATTTTTTTAAAAGTTAAAATTAGAATAAAAAGGAGTTATACTTAGTATTTTATATAGAATTGTATTATTAGAACCTTAAGGTAGTTTTGTTAATAAATTTTATTTTATATTATATATTGATAATAATTATCAGTATTAAGAAATAGCGAATTTTAGGTTTCATCTTTAATATTTAAAAAAAATATGGCAAATCTTATTTAAAAAATAGATAAATAATTTTTTTTTTTTTTGGTATTAAGGTGAGGCTTTGCTTATATCTTTATTAGTAATTTTTGTTGTATATATTAATATACTAAATATTAAGATATACTAAAATTGTATAATACAAAATAAAAACTACATGTAAGAATTAAAGTTCAAATAATTTTATTTATAACCTAAGTCTATTTAGATTTGTTGTACTTATACAAATTTAGATGAGTTTGATCTAGATTGTATAAGTACTTTATAAAAAATTTATAAAGTATAAATAATATATAATTTGTTTAGTATAAATATAAGAAGTTGTTGGTTATTTATATAAATATATTTATTTTAAGTAAAATAGATAAATAATGCAAAATAGATAAATGTAATATTTATTTATTTATTTTTTTAATATTAATGATAAGAAATATAATATTTATTATTAATATATATAGAAATATGGTGACCTAGTAAAGTAGTCAAGTTGTCAACCCTCAAGTGGCAGGTCTAGAGTTCAAATTCTATAGACAACAAATTTTAGAAAATAGGTCTATGTTATGATAACTGTTTCTATCAATTGGTTAGATTAGTATATCTATAACCTTCAGTTGTACCATCTTGAATAAAAGCTTGAGACATTTATACAAAATGTAATATTACACTTACATAGAAGAATATATAACTGGTATTACATAAGACTTTAGTGCAAACTCATAATAAGATTACTAGCTACAAAAAGTAAAGCAACTGAAGAATCGAAAACTTATTTGAAACTTCTAAATAAGAAAATAGCACAAAACTTTTGATAATACTGTTAGATTAATGAAAGTTCATGAAATATCTCCAAAGGAATAGGCAGATAAACTAAATAACAAGATATGTAGAGAAGTATATGACCAACTAGGATATCAGAATTGCTAAAGGAAAAGAATACTAAGGTATATTATACCAGGTCATCTAAATTAAAAGTCTGAAAAGTTCTGTTGGTCCTAAGTAGCAGTTAGTAAAAGATAATAAAGAAGATATCAAAAAAATAGATATTGGGATTTTGAGTAAATCTTACAAGAATAAAAGTAGTTTAATAGTTAGCTCTGATTGCAAATAATAGTTTAGATCAAAGTGATACTAGATAAGCTATAAGTATAAGATACAGAATGCACTGATAGGTTTAATATAAAGTTAAATATGACTTAGTGATTATGGTATATCTTTACTAGTTTACTGGAATTGTTAATAGCATGTAGTAAATATAGTATTAAAATATTTAAATAAAGGTCCTATAGGTAGGTTCTAGGTATAGCAACTAGTGTAGAACTTTTAGCTAAACTATTTAAATTAGATAATAACTAAAGTTATACAAGTAACTAGTTGTACACTCTTTTTATGATTACTTCTGTGTTATTATATCAATAGATGCTAACCAATTGATATTATCAATAAAATCCTAGATTACATGTACTTATTTTAATATTTAAAAAAAAAAATTATTAATATATATATTTAAATTTATTAAAAAATTTATAAAATAAAAAATAAAACATTTAATTTATAGTTAATTTTTTTTTATTAACTAATTTCTTTTGGTTAAAGTTTTTATTTAGTAATTCAAATATGAAAAGTTTTAAAGTTTTTTATATTAAAATACAACTAGTCACATATGTTTAATTTAAATAGGTTTTATACTAGATATTATATTTATAATTTAATTATAAATATTGTTTATGAAAAGTGTAGTAACCTAGTAAAGTGATCAGGTTATCAACCTTCCAAGTGGTAGGTTAGATGTTCAAATTCTATTAATAGTGAAAATTTGGATAATCACCTATATAATATTTATATTATAGCAACTATTATAATAATTGGATTAAGATACCTGTAATAGCAGTCACACTAGTATGACTGACAAGTCATGAGACATTCATATAACAGTTATATGACATTGTCTTTTAAGACAAGGTCTGTAGTTACATAAAAAAATGCAAACTAACAATTGGGTGATACAAATACTAGATAAGTTCTTATGATCATATAAATTTGTCAAAATTAGATAACAAGAAGTTTATTTGAGAAGATTTAAGTAAAGAGGTAGCTGGATTTTTAATAGCTTTACTGTAAAGACTAGTTTAAGAAAACAGATATCAAGATTATAGTACTCAGTTGTAGTAGTCAGACAGACAAGAACTTCTAGGTTGAAAGTCTTGAAAATACCACCAACCAGATTACTGAAACAAACTAAAAAAAAGGATATCAGACTGGTCTGATATATTAATAGACTAATTATAGTTCTATACAAGCTATTTGGATTGAAAGTTTGATAAAAAGACAGATGAAAAGGCAGAAGTATACTAAAGTATTGAAGTTATGCCATAAAGTAAATGCTGAGGTCTAAGTAACCTCTATAAAAGCATAGTAGTTTAATAATTAAGCTTTAACTGCAAGTGTTAGTTCTGTTATAACAATATCAAGATCAGTTATAAAAATAGATACAAAAGACTTTAAAGGTTTATCTTAAGAATAAAATAGTTCTAAAATTGAAATAATAATCTGAATTAGATATGACTCAGTAAAGTTAACAGTTTTGCAGATTCAAAGAGTTTAAAGTGAAATATCCAAGAAGAAGTATTAGATATAGCAATTAGTAAAGAACCTTCAGGCAGACTTCTTAAATAGATAATATAGAAAAGTTATATATATAACCAATTGTATGCCAGATACAGAACATGTCTTCTTAAAATGGGTCAAAATGTTGTTTATAATAAAATTTTTAAAAAACATATAAATTTACTAT